ACAAGTTTGCAGAGCTGATGAAGCGCCAACCCCTCCAAATGTTTGCCAAGAGGACATTCGGTTGGCTGGAGTAACCCGCAAGGTCAATCAGTGGAGCTCTTGGAATGAGATGAGATGGGAGAAAATGTTCAGTGGCGGAAGTTAAGGGGAAGGTTATGAAATGAGAGACGTCTAACAGAGGGAGGGTAGTTGTTTATCCATGGCAGCAAACAGGCTTGGTAGGTGTGAGGTGTACCAGGAGCTAACTAGCTGAGCAAATCAGAGGGCAGCACTGAGCGCTGACTCTGGCAGTGCCTTTCTTTCTGACTGCCATCTAGACCATCCCAGAAAACAGCGGCGGTGGTGTTGTTGTTTTTCTGAATCAGGACTTTGCCCCATAGCCCGGGTCATCTTCTAAGTGTAGATCAGCATGGGCTTGAACTCACAATCCTCCTGCCCCAGCCTTCTGAGTACTAAGGATAGAGATGCCCATCACTATAACCAGTCAGTTTCAATCTTCCTAATGCTGCTACAGCTTTTCATACATGCGCTATTTTCTGTGTACCAGATAGCCAAAGCAAACTACGATTCCATGGTCCCATGCGGTAGTTCGGGGAAGCATTTGTCCTAAACATAAGAAATTCCATCATTGTGTTATTGAGGGTCATGGCTTCTCACATATTTTGTTCTCCAAGGTCACAGGATCTGTTCTTTACATTAAAGAGCTGTTGTTGCCTTCTTTGTGTTGGTCAACACTTTATTTTCGTGGCTGGGGTATGTTAATTTGACAGCAATTTATTTGAATTGTGATTTTTTTCTATCTCAAAATTCTCAAAAACTACCTTTCTTACTGGGACCTGCACAGAGATTTAAGCATTTTTGGGGGTCTGACAGGGTAGGTCATCAGGTGAACTGTTTGCTGTCCAGCATGAGCATTGCTCCCCCGTAACCCATCACTGTGGGCTTGTGAATTTGCTCTCTGAGCACTGGGGAGGCTGAGACAGTAACATACCAGATGCTCAGTAAGCAGTCCAGCTAACTGAGTCAGTGAGCCCTGTATCCCGTGAGAGAGAGATCCTGTCTGTCAAAAGATGCAAAGTGAGAGCCCTGTTCCTAGAGAAAGGCACCAAAGTTTCATCTCTGACCTTCACAAGCCTGAGTCCTGACATGTTCACCCCCCAATCTGTATCTGCACATGCATGCAGATGTACATGCAAACACATGCACATACAAACTCCCCTGCTCTCCCTCCATCCACCCCCTCTCTTTCATGTTAATGGATGATACTTTTGAAGGACCAACTCCTCAAAGCCAAAATTGCGATTTAAAAATTAATAAATAACTTCTGGAAAGTTGCTCATCCTCTTTAAATTCTATAGCCCACCTCCTCATATCCTCACACAGTTATGTCAGGGATGAGACAGAATCAAAACACCTTAAAATTAAGATTCTTATTTGCATTTTTTTGTCTTCTGCAAGTTAAATAAAAGTCATATTTTTGGAATACTTTATATATCTTTTCTATATATCTATGTAAATTCAAGTTTACAAAAATAATATAAATTAGTTTACACAACAATCTATCATAATTTTTCCAGTGTGATCTTCGGGTGTTTGAGTCCTGTGACTAACTCATCTCTTCATCTGCCTAGTTGACATTCTAACTCCTTGTTGTTATTTAACATTTCCTAATTCTACTCAGTAACTCACAAATATTTGTCCTCGTGATTCTAAGCCTGGTCTAGAAGCTTAGGTTGGTAACAATTGTGACATCTGAAGTCTAACTAACGGGGCTTAAATTCATTTTCTATTAGAGACTGATCTGCTAGGGCACTTCATTGCCCCGTGTCTCAGCTTCTCATCTGTAAGGCACAACTGGCATTCTTCCCTCCTCACAAGTTGCTGAGGGAATGTGAGTTCGTACAGTGGAGCACACAGAACAGCATGAGCATTCTGTTGCCCAGGGCAAGGCTCTCCCCGCACTGACCGGCCCTATCCATACTTCCTTTGTGTAGGGTTGTGGGTTTCTGCCTTGGTAGTAGAGTGATGACCCATTAGTGTAATATTTTCTCTATGTGACATATTGGATGTTTTTCCTGCCTTTAATCAAACAATAATCCTAGGAGGCCATTTTACACCCTTCCATAACTCCCAGTGTCTCATCTTGTCCAAGACCGAGGACTAAAGCCCAAGTCCACATCTGACTCCCAAAGCCAAGCACTCCATGAGCTATGTGGTCCTTCCCTGGAAAAGGCCACAGTGAAAACCAAATAGGGGCCTAGAGGGTTGACTCAGTGGCTAAGAGCCCTTGTTCCTCTTGTCTCAGACTCACATGGCAGCTTACAACCGTCTGCATCTCCAGTCCCAGGGGATCCAATGATCTCTTCTCATACATGCAGGAACCAGGCACATGTGTAGTGTACGATACACATACAGGCAAAACATTCATATACACAACATAATGAAATCAATCTAAACAAAACTTTAAACTCAATAGGAACTTAACCTTCTCCATCTCTCCTTCCGTACACATCTAGGTTTTGCCCTAATAGAATTACACATGTTGCCCATCTTGAGCCTGGTCCCTTGCATCCTTCCCAAGTTTGGGTCTGCTACTCATCAGTGTTTTCCCCCAACCCTCCCCTCTTCTTCTTTAATTCAGTGTCCTTAGACAGATTGGGAGACACTCATTTCATTCCTCTTACCTATCCTAGCATTAGCTGATAAACATCATTTTAAAGATATAGGTATGTGATATATGAGTGTGTATACCCATGTTTCTGTGTGTGTAGGAAGACGTGTGTTTGGTATGAGAGAAGGTGCATGCCCAGCATGGGAAACAAGCTTCTGTGTCTCCTTTGAGACAAGGTCTGAAGCTCACAGATGAGTCTAGACCTGCTGGCCAGGGCAGCCCAGGGATGCTCTGTCTACCTTCCCAGCGTGGGGATGGCAAGCACACACCTTGTCCAGTTTTGTCTCGTGGGTCCTGGGATTTGAACTCAGATTCTTTTATTTCCACAGCTAGCCTACACCAGCTGGTCTTTTCCCAGCCTCCAAAATGGTCCCTTTAGGTTTTTAATATTTCTTGGTCTCGACTACATGTGCCTTCTTGTGTGAATCACTAAGATTAACAGCAAATACATTTTTAGAAGAGAATTTATTTTTGCCTATAAACAATTTTCAGCAAGAATAAACACTGATGTTTGGTTTTCTGAATGAAGAATGTGCTTCTGTGAAAATGAGGCAGTGTACTAAGTTTCTCCTTTTGCCCTTCATTTTTTGACTACTTAACACAACTCTTGAGCAAAAGAAGATTTTATTTCTGTCTGTGTTCTTATGTAGATTTTCAGCTGCTTTGGCTATTGTGTAAAGAATATTGTTCATGATATTTTATTTTTGTAATTACATTTGTTTCTTTGTGGTGGTTGAGAAAGGGACCCTTGTAGTCAAATACAATTTAAAAAAAAAACTTATCTAGCAGAATACCCCTAATCTTTAAAATGCTACTTCTTAGGAAATATGGACACTTTTTCTTAGAATAATTTTTATGACTATTTCAATAGTTTTCATCGTGCCAAATAGCATATTCTCCTAAGTTTTTCTCATCAAATGATAATAGTATTGCTAATTAATTGGAAAAGTAAGATCCTAAACTCATAGGTTCCAATCCAGACCTCATCAGGGGAATCTCTCCTTCAGTTTACTTTCAGCATTTATTGTTTTGAAAGAATTTCTTGTACGCTCTTGGCAATTGCTTCCTTGATGTGGCATAATTACCCTTGCGTTTCATTTGGTATATGGCCCTTAGAGCAAAAAAAAATGCACTAAGAAATAATTGCTGGCAAGTCAAATATGTGCTGTGTGACTTGGAACTGGAATCTAATTCCATATAGCACACATGGGGTATGGATCCCTGTATGTAGACATTCGCTGTCTCTCAGCATCTGTACTGATCCAAGTTGTCACAAAGCAAATGTCCTCATGGTGATTGTTGCTAGGGCAATAAATAACTAGTCACATCCCACTCCTAAGGAAGACGTTATTTCCATCATATATGTCAGTTTGCCTTCAGACGTGAATATTTTTGAGGGACAGATAAAAGCAGTGGCCTGGCCTTGTCTAAAAATAACCCGAGGAAAGAAAAGAAATCGAGATTCAGTTTGGAAACAGTGAAACTGATCTCAGTAAGTTGTGTAAAATCTTCTCAGAGCAACCTAGACATGTTGAAAAGATGCAAAAACGTTGGGGAAAGTCACGTCAATGCCCGACTCTGTCTTGCTCACTTCTGGGATGACTTGTTCCTTGCCTCACGTGTCTGCTTTCTCCTGAGTGCATTTGTTCCCCTGAAAGCCTTACGGAGGAAGTGTAGGAATCCACTGTACAGAAAGGAGAAAGCCTGGCACGGGATGCTGCCCTACTAATTATTCGTGTTGAGCCCTCCTCACTCCCCATCCACCTCCGGGCAAATGCTCTCCTTTCCCCTTCCTCTATTCTGGAAAATGACTTTGCTGCTAAATCTATGACAAACCCAGTGAAGTTAGTATCATGTTAATCTGAACATATCCTGAATACTGTCCAGCAGAACAACACAGAACTAATTTGTCTGTATAAAATATTTTCCTCTGAAATGTATCTTAACCTGTGCTGGAGACCGAGCCCAGGGCCTTCTGCACACTACCCAAGCCCTCTGCCAGAGACACACCCCAGCCCAGCTTTTAGTTTTGAACAACGTTCTCATGCAGGATGCTTGTGCCTTCCCTTTGATTTTGGTTAGCAATGAACCCTCAGCAGGTGTGCTTTCTCCCCGTATTTTCGACGTACTTCTGAGACAGCATGTGAATTGTCATTTGACTAGATAGCATTGACTATGTTGGAAGATCTGTGACAGATTAATTTTGTTTTATTCTTTCGAACCCCTATTTTTTTTTATGTGTGTAATGTCCCCCCCTGCCTAGACCTGGTTAACCGTTTCTGCGAGCAGGTCCTCAGTTTTTTACTTTGTCCCTACTTTCCTGTCCTAGCCCCATCTTCCCCCGGTGTCGACTCCGTCCCCTTGCAGCGCACAGGCAGCCAGCACGGGCCACAGAATGCCGCCGCAGCCACCTTCCAGAGGGCCAGCTACGCTGCTGGCCCCGCCTCCAACTACGCCGACCCCTACCGACAGCTGCAGTATTGCCCCTCCGTTGATTCTCCGTACAGCAAATCGGGCCCTGCCCTCCCACCCGAAGGCACCTTGGCCAGGTCCCCATCCATTGACAGCATTCAGAAAGATCCCAGGTGGGTAAGACTGTATTTATTTACTCTGAGATGTGTAAAGAGGTTTTATGACCCAGTCTCTTCTTTGCGCTCTCGGTGACATCATTGCCTTTGTCTTCCTGTTATTGACTGAGAATGAAAAGATTGGTTTTTCTTGGGTTTTACAGTTTTTTATTCGATATGGATATATGGACACATAGGATGGACCCCTATTATCTATGGGTCAGCACTCAAAAATATAATATAAAGAGGTATTATAAGAATGCCTTTGGGTGCTTATGGTTATAACCATCTGATTTGATCGGACGGGGTCTTGAGTGTCGTAGGAGCAGAGATGGGAGCTGGGCAGAGGTCTCGCCTGACCTTCGGTATCACTATCCACGTGTGCTGCTCCCAGCTGAGAAGAATTCAGTGCCATCCTCTGTCTCTCTGGTTGTTAGAATATAAAGATTCCCCCACCCCAAAAATTATTCTCAGATTTGAGAAGTCCGAAGTTAGTTGTTCAGGGACTGGTAAGAAGTTGGCTGTGGATTGTTGGAGAAATGATTTGGTACGTGCGGTGTGTCTCCCTCCCGCCTTCTTCTTTGCAGCATCAGTGCAGGTTGGTGTGATGCTCTACTCCTGGAGTTGGGATAGACTCCCTGTTGATTTATGTAGATGCAGTCCCATGTGAACACACATACAGATGTGTACATGTACATATACTCAGACATACATGTAACCTGCTGTGAGCATTCTAGATAGGCCAAGATCCTGGTGTTTCTTAAGGGCTGGACTGGGATGATAAATTTGAAATGCCTCTCCAGGCATTTCCCTGACAGAAGACACAACTCGTGTATTATACAGAGAATTTGCATGGTTTCTCTTATAAAAAGAAATGGCTTCTTCAGACATGAAAGGCAAATGGAATCATTCCATAGTGTGCTTTGAGATAGCTGCCTCGATTCAGATGAAGCCCACATGAGGGCTCTTGCCAAGTGTTGTGTGTGATACAGTCAGCCTTGTAGAGCCGAATTGGACGAAAGGCTCAGCTCCGACTGCAAGAGATTGAAAGGAGAGCTCAGCCACAGTGCGCAGGGTTTGGTCTCCGGATTCTCGAGCCTTCACAGCAGTCAGAAGTCTTTGAACTGAAACCTGCCCTTCACTTTGAAGGCATGCATGGTTAGAACGTTCTTCAGAAAGTATTTTTGTCATGCTTTATTTGGAAATATTTTATACTTAACAATAAGGTAGAAACATGTAGAAATAAGACCTTACTGAGAGCAGAAGAGGTGCTCATATAGAACATTGTGTCAGACTTGACACCATTTGACTTTCAACACTGTGTTATGTTGGATAGTATGGATTTTAGTCATCCTTCCGTTGTTGCAATAAAACAGTGACCAAAAGGAGCGTGTAGAGGAAAGGGCTAATTTGCTTATAGTTTCCAGCTGTAATCTATCACTGGGGGAGTCAGGGCAGGAACCCGAGGAGTAGCTTGAAGCAGAAGGCATGGAGGAATTGGACTTAGCGTTTCTCTGATGCAGCCCGGCTTCTGTGTTTTATACTGTATGATAAAGGCACTTTATTTTATTAAATCGAGCATTCTTCCGTTTCCATATTGCTGCCCCTTCCGTAGGCCTGTTTCTCTCTGTATAGTGTCACAGCTTTTACCTTTTCAAGTCATGGATTATGTTACCTGTGTTTACCGAGTGCGTGCTGTATACCAAAGAGAGAAACGCCAGTAAGAAAGGAGAAAAGAGTAAGAGGACCTTGGCCACTGGCCTTTAGTATGTGTTAAATTTATATGCAAATTAGTGTTCTGTATATTATAAATTCACCTTTATTTTCAAGATCACTAGATGCTGGCCGTAAGAGTGAGTGTTCGTTCTGAAACCCCCAGCATGCTAAGCACAGGCAATAAATAAATAAATAAGTAAATAAATAAATAAATAAATAGGGAATCATGGCAAGAACCAGAAAGGATTTGTTTTTTCTGTTTGTTTTGTTGTTTGTTTTTGTTGTTTTTGGGGGGGAGGAGTCTTGTGTTCCTCCCCCCTTTTATTGATTTTTATTGAGCTCTATATTTTTCTCTGCTCTTTCCCTTCCCCTTCAACCCTCCCCCAAGGTCCCCATGCTCCCAATTTACTCAGGAGATCTTGTCTTTTTCAACTTTCCATGTAGATTAGATCTATGTAAGTCTCTCTTAGTATCTTCATTGTTGTTTAAGTTCTCTGGGATTGTGATTTGTAGGCTGGATTTTTTTTGTGCTTTATGTTTAAAAACTACTTATGAGTGAGTACATGTGATACAGAAAGGATTTATAAAACACAAATAAACCAAGAAATATCTGGAATGAAGAATAAAATAAGTAATGCCTTTTTCTCAGAGTGTCTTTCAAACTCTCATTGTTGTTATGGATTCAAAAACCATATGACTCCAAGTCCAAAGTATTAACTTTTAAAAGACATTTTCTATCTCTTTCAGATGATGATTTTTGGTTGTTTCCAAGGACATGCTAGAACTAAGTGTGCTAGAACAAAGATATCTAACTTTTAGGGTTCAAAAGTATTCACTTTGTGATTAGAAGCTGTTGACTGGAATCTTTTGATCCCCTTGACTCTTCGCTCTTCTACATAGTATTCGTTAGACTAGAAGGAAATGTCCGGTTGGCTGTCTGCAGCCCAGTGAGTTAGGACGGCTCCAGGTGCTGTCCCACACACATGCCCACAAACCTGCTGGTGACATCATGAGAGCATTTTGTGACTTTGTTTGTTGTGCAAGTGCTAGCATCAGCAGTTTTATTCCTTTTGAATCTTATGTGACTCTTTCAGACATGTGGACGGGAGTTTCTGGGCAGCTGTGTCTTAGCAGGGAGAATCAGGAAGTGGTTTGAGGGGCCAGCTCTCGTACAGCACAGATTGGGAGGTATCTGGTTTCAGTTTTCTAGTGTCTGCTACTGTGACCTTACAGACACACCTTCTTTTTCACTGAAGAGTTATGGAGTGTTATTCAGTAAGACATTTCCAAGAAAATACTGACTTTTAACATACAAATTCGCAATCAAAAGAGTCTTACTCTCTGTATGAAGACCCAAAGACTCTCTGTCACCTGTGAGTTACCTTCAGCCTTGGGGGAAGGAAGGACCGCTCCCCAAAACTTGGAATTTCCTTGCGGATAGTAGAGAGTTCAGTCATACAGATTTTGGGGAAATGTTGGTATTCTTTGCTTTTAACTCTTTTAGGCTCTACCAAATGTACAGAAACCTTTTATCCAAAGAGACATCCAATTTCCTAAATTTGTAAAATTAGGAATCCTGGGAAGAATAAGGTTTTAACATATACAAAATTCGTTTCACGGCCACATTTGCTTAAGCGTTTTTTAAATATAATTATATATTATTTTCTGTAAGATTTGAACCTCCTGACTTTGAGCAATGACTGATACATCCTTTGTATGTGATGCCAAATAATGGTTTGTTCCTATGAATATGTTAAATATACATGTTTAGATATGCTTATGGATAAGTTAAATATGTGTGTGAGTCATAATAGTATTATTATTTCAAAAGTTAAATAACGCGACTAGAAACTTAAGTAAAGAAAGATCTATCAGTGGCTACCAGCGGTACTATAAGTGGTCTCATGCATAAAAGAGTAGGAAGTTATGTTTAGAACTTTTGTGGCATAATGCACAAATCAGAATACTATTATAATATATTCTATAATGGGGTTGTTTTAAGTGAAAAAACCTGATCAATAATATAAAAATAGGCATTTTTAGGAAAATTCATATTTATGACTTCTGCATTTTATTTGTTATTTCCATATATTATGAACCTTACTATGTTTGAGACATCATATTGTCTCACTTAGATAATGTTGCTTATCCATATTTTATCAATGGGTAAACTTTGGTAAAGAACATTTTGAAATGTTTTTTTCTCATTATTCATCAATGTGTATCACATACATAATATTAAATGAACCTTCAGAGAGAAAGTATGTAGACGGAGACTGCTCATTCATTTCACGGCCATCCCGACCCAAATAATCACACAGAAACTATATTAATTAAAACACTATTTGGCCAATAGCCTAGGCATATTTCTAGCTAACTCTTACATCTTAAATTAGCCTATTTCTATTAATCTGTGTATCCCCTCAAGTTTGTGGCCTCCTGGTAAGGTTCTGGCTGGTGCCTGCCGTCTTTTTCCTTTGGCAGCTACATGGTGTCTTCCTGACTCTGCCCACTCTATCTCTGTTCGCTCTTCTAAGCCATTGGCCAAAACAGCTTCTTTAATAACCAGTGGTAATAAAAACATATTCATAGCATACAGAGTGGAAATTCACATCAAAAGTAGTTTTAAAATGCTTCTAGAAAAGTGGAGGTTGGAATGTTTTTTAAATCTTAATGCTTCAACTGTATTACTGTGTAATTTAGATTATTATCTAGCTTAAGTCACACTGGGGAAATGTTCAGAGTATGTATAACATTCCCATAGTCTGCTTCTCTCGGGCTATGAATCTCTGCGGATCCTAATACTCATTTCCAAAACAGCTATCACTTACCTAACTGGCCCTTCCAAGTTTAAGAATCATTCATTTCAATGAATAGCAGCCATTCTATTCCCTTCTCCGCCGTACCCAGTTCCCACAGCCGGCCACTCACATTGAACTATTTTACAGAGTTGTTGGAGAGTAAACCAGACCCAATCATGTCAATGAAGCTGGTATTTGTTTTTGATTTGTAGTTTTTATTTTGGAGAGGTCTCATGTAGCCCAGACTACCTTCAGGCCTACTATATAGGTAGGATGACCTTGAACTTCTTGTTATCCTGCCTTTACTGCCCCAGTACTGAGACTACAGGTGGCCACCACCATACCATGTTTTAAGAAATGCAGAGAGTGACATCCAGGGAGTCATGTGAGTAGACCAGCACTGCCAGGAAACTGCATCCCCAGCCTTCCACACTAACATAGGTGGAAACAAAGGCTATTTGTCTCTTGTGGGTTCATTCTCTGGTCTTTTCTTTTATCTTT